CATACTTGACTCTTAAGTCTTTTTAACAACCAAAAGCACATGGAAAATTCTTTTTTCCTTTTCTATTTTCCTTTTTTTTTTTTGCCATACAAATCATTAAATATGAAGTTTTTTTTATTAACCTTTTATATTCATAAATTATATTAGATTTTAATTAATTTAAAATCGAATTAAGTTAAGTTTTATATAAAGAAAAATTCTCTCAACATTTATTTTTTTATTCATAAAATTTAAATTTAAAATCTTATTTAAAAAGAATCATGTTTTTTTATTTAGACCAATAAATCGTTACTAAAATATGAAATATTTTTAAAATATATATTAAAAATATAATTAATATATTATTTTATTATAAATTTTTATTAAAAATTAAATTTTAATTTATTAATTACTAAGTCTATTTGAAACCAATAATAATTTTTATATATATTTATAATTAAAAAAATACTCTTAACTATTACTTTTAAAGACACAAAATTTAAAAAAAAAAACACATCATTAAATAATAAGGTATAAATTTTAAAACTACATTAAATAACTAATTTTTATTCAATAATTTAAATTATCGTAATTTATTAAATTTCACGCTGTACAGGACTACTGTTTTTTATTTCTGTAATGGAAAAGGACCCAAGAGAAAAAAAAAAAATCTTTGGTATCTCATAGACTAGTCGCTAATGGCTTCCATCTGCAGCCTGCCGCTTACTTTTCCCCCATCTATCTACTTCTCACGCGTTCACATTCCATTTTCTAAAGGGCGTCCCACTCAAATCTTTCCTCTTTATTTATTTATTTTTTATTTTTTCAAAAATCTTTCCTTACTTGTGGTGTCCAATATTCATTAAATTAATTTATTTTTTACCATTAATTTGTATTAAAAATATAAAAATTAATATTAATTTTAATGTTTTTACTAAAGAAATAAATTTAATTTAATAACTAATAAATTAAAATAAATATTTATTCTTTTAATATAAACTTTTAAAATATATATTTAGGGCCTATTTAGTACAGAGGTTAAAATTCAGCGGATAGTGGATAGCAGATAGTGGGTAGCGGATAGCGGTAGTGGGTAGCGGGTGGTGATTAGCGGATAGTGAATACGGATAACAGAAAGTGGGTAGCGGATGGTAAATAGCGAATTTGATAAATATAACTGTTTGGTTATAGAATAATTAACGGTTGTTGTTTAACATTAAATAACTAATAAGGACATGTTTAAAAACAAATAAGTGTATTTTTAAAAAAAAATTTATTTTTTATTATTAAAATTATTAATTTTATAAAAAAATAATAAAATAAATAAA